ACCTTTTGCAAAGTGCAAAGCCTGTTATGATAATGCTATTAGTATTTAACAGCATTGATATTGCTGACTGGTATGTGAATTTTTATGTGATGTTATTTTAATACAATAATGTTACTTCAGACTTGTAATGAATTTGGATGGTTTTCTGTTGAGTATATAATTCACTTGCATGCATAAAAAACAAAGCAGGATAGATAGGTGCCCGTTACACTGATGTTGTTGTTCTTCTTTCAGCTGTCGTTAGGGGTCGCCAAAGCAGATCATTGATCTGCATATTTGATTTGGCACAGTTTTTACCCTGGGTGCCCTTCCTGACGCAACCCTCCCCAATTTTATCTGGGCTTGGGACTGGCACTGAGAGTGCTTTGTCGTGGTTCCCTGGCCAGGGATCGAACCTGGGCTGTAGCAACGAGAGCACTGTGGCCCAACCACTAGTCCTCCAGGGACCTAGGTGCTCATAACATTGATAAAGCTGGTTAAATGCTGGTAAATTAAAAACAGAGTAATAATAAAGTAAAAATGGCACCCTGATCACTGGCATCAATCTGGAGCTGGAAGGTTTTAGTAAAATCAGGTGGAATCGGGATATGGGCTGTTTTCAAAGACTATTTAATGTCCTCATGATTTCCTACATTCCCATGTCCATTCCCAGGTAACATTCTTCTTTTTGGGGCGTTAAGGACTGCAACACTTTTAGAGAACGTAGGGTGAACTGGTTGTACTAGCCTGCTAGCTCCAAGATCCTCAACCTCCAAGAAGGCTCACACTGCTTCTTTTCTGCATCTCTGTTCATATTCTGAAGACTGATGCCACATGCCTCAAGGATTTCCTGCACCTGTGGCATGGAATATGCATGCGGGTTTTAGAGAGTCTAAACCTACAGTTGCTCATAATATAGAAAGTCTGGAGAATGTAGTGATTGGTCAGTTCACAGTCAAGCTTGACCAAGCCTGTCGCACCTTGAGGTTGAACAGAGCATGGTCTGTCCTCTGCTGGGTGCAAATTCCTCTTTGGCTTCATTATTCACCTCCCAGAAGGTTTCTTGGATGAAAAGTGGAAGAGTTAGTGTTCTTACCTAAGTGACTTGGAATGACCTTGAATGACCTGGAACATGCTTAAAGGATTTGGGTAGTTGTGGTCTTTCTCCAGCAGCGTCTTGCTGTGCTTTACTTAAGTAACCCTTTGTAGCAGACAGATGATGGTCCAGTGTACCTCACCAGCTCATATACAGAGTTTGCTGTTTTCCTCAGCAGACTCACCAACTGTGGGTCACAGTTCCTACGGATGGCCTGTAGCAGTTCTCTTACTTTCATCTGAGACACATATTCACATTTTTCAGTGAATGTGACTTAACTCAAACTGGATTGATGGTCTCAAAGGCAAGCTGCTCAGGTTGTGGAGGATGCAGCTTGGTTGAGGTGTTGTGGAAGAACTGGCCATTGGGTGCATCATTGATAGTAGAGTTGAGGTTATAGGAGTGAGCTTGAAGATGTTCTCCAGTTGCCTGTTGCTTCTCTTGAAATAATCTAACATTGATTACCGTAGCTATTTCCATGTCTATGACATTTTTTAATGACATTTTTTCTAATTTATAAATCAGCTTCTCCAGTCTTCTGGCCTAATCCTTCTTCCATGGACTTTAGCCAGCCCCCTGCTCAGCAGCACTCACAATGCAGCAAAGGCTTTCTTGCAGCTTGTTTTCCAGGCTATTAAGTCTTTTCTCTATAGCCAGCTTGCTCTGCCAGGTTGAGTTGATTGTAGTCATTGGGTGGGTGGTGGTGGTGGTGGTGGAGGTAATGGCCACGCTGGAAGATCTCTCTTTTTCTCCTACTTGGACTTTATGTAAAGGTGACTGAGATTGTCAGTGATGTCACCTACAGCATTCCTTTGGGTTACAGTTGGCATGGCAGTGAAATGCACTGTGGAGAGGATACCGCCACTGCCTCAAGTTGCTGAGCCATCATGTTAGAAAGGAGCAACAGTAGTAGACAGAGAGAATAGAAAAGTCTTATCATTACAACTAGCAATATAACAACATAATTGTACAAATTGAACAATCCCTGATTATTATGAATAAAGTCTATTGTGCTGTTCCTGTAAGTCAGGTAGTACTGGTATAGGTGGTTGGTACGTAGTGACATTCCTTAGTAACATATATATGGTATGATAATGAATAATATATGATGTGAATATGATATGATATATGAATAATCCAGAGGACAGATTAACTAGTGAGTAAAGTGGCTAGTTCAGGTGACAGGGTTTGTGCCCCATGGGAGGCAATATGTTATTGATGGTCCTAACAACTTGTGTACATAAGCTGTTATGG